CACTGCGTGAAATAACTCCAGTCGCACACGCGCTCTAGCTGTTTTGCAAGCGCTAGCATCTCCTGACGCTGATGCATTACGCCGAACAAGCGGGAAACTCGGTGTCACTGGCTTGAACAAGACATGGTTTTGCTCCGTCTTTTCAAGTCCCCAGTGTCAAGAAATGTGCGGACGCCTGTAGCCAAGGAAGGAATCTCTGTCTGCAGCGGCAGAGCTGAATTTAATGCATACGAAAGCGAATGAATATGATCAAGCACGAGTGCAATGATTACTGTACCGGATTCGCAGTTGTTTGGGTTGAAGGCATATCATGAGTATGAGGATTGGATTCCTCTCATTCGTGCTGTGTTTATGGCAGCTGGAACGGATTTGCGTAGAAAGCTAAAGAATATCTAAACGTCTTCGTTACCATGGAAAAGTAGCGCAGTGCTCTCCCTGTCTGTCCACAAGATTATAGCGCACGGTTTCGCATGTGACGCCGTAAATGAAAGGGCGAGCTGGGTCTCAAAAGCCTTCTGTGGATTTTCAAAGTGCCGGTAGACAGCTAGGTAGCAGTGCATGCTGTAATTGCACATCTGACCCGGCATTCAGCAATCATACCAAAACTGCACTGGCGTCGCCTCAACCACATAAGGTGACCCCGGGTTTTGACACGGATGCGCTTACGAGATGTCGTGAGGTTTGGTTTCATTGCGGGCGCATACTCACTTTTGTGTATGCTGTACCTGACGAGACGCAGGTTACAATCGCCTCTAAAATTGATATTTTGTGTGGCCATGATGAGTCTCTACTTCAACTGGGACACATCAAGACGCGTCATCCATCCAATCAAAGTTCGTTTTAGTAAATTGCTTGCGCTTTTTATGCAGTCTATGCCATGAATAGTCATTGGACGACCGTAGTCCATTTGGTGTGTCCTAAGTTTTGCAGTGCAGGGCTGTTCTTGTTTCTCTGAAGGCCTTGATGCCTGTACATTAATTGCCGTACACTCTGGACGTTTAGGCGATCAATTTTTAGCTCCAATTGCTGCAACTCGCTTCATTGTATACGTATCGTATCTAGCCCGTGCATGGAAGAATGAGCAACTGACAACTTTCTGGTTAATTCCACCCTGGTCACCAACAGGTCCACTTATCGCCTAGATTTGCTGCTGCGAAACGAATTTCATGACAATTGTGTGTTGTGCCCGTGCATTTTGGCAACATAGGATGATATTTCTACTGGAGACTCGGTGCACATATTAGGGCTACGTCTAGTGGAACGTGCCAGGTTTTCTTTTGCAGAGCCTAGGAAATATACTTCACGGACGTCCTTAGGGCAATTCCTTTCAGAGATATCCTTGCCCACTGCAACCGAGAACCGCCAACATCGCAATAAAATTATCCTCGATAGCGTTCTCTTCAACTTGCTAAATGTCCGCCTTATCCGCGCCGCATTCTATAATGGGCACAGCCTACCCAGTCAGCATTGCAAACTCAAAAACTGAGGAACATTGGCGCAACTGAATGTCCAGATCAACACACTCCCTGTTGAAACGGGAACTTCGAATCCCTCCCAGAACATGCTTGCACACCGGACCCGGACATACACAGTGACGTCAGGGACTAATGAAATCACTGCTTACAATGAAACAATGAACTTACAGGCAAGCAAGACATAACACAATCACCACAGTCAGGGTCGGACTCCCCCCACCGCGTGGACCTTCCCTGTACACTGTGCCACGTACAGTCTTCGCCAAGGCATATCAGCAAGTGCCTTCTCAGCTTCCACCTCATTGCATTCCTACAAAGCTAGCACAGACGGTTTTGCTCAGGTGCTGCGTAAAGCACCAGATGTTCCACAAACATCTAGTTGGCGCCAGCGCGTCGGTGTAGGGAGACTGAGAACCACTTCACACGAATCACCCAGAAGGACTTGTGCGCCACAAACGCAGCGCAGCGCGAAAATCATCGAGGCGGTGAGCCGACGTACGCGCTAATGGTGAGAATTCGCCGCCAACCCTAGTTCTCCGCGCTTGCTCTAAAGCTACAGAAGAACGTCGAAGTCCTCCTGCATCTAGTGCATCTCGTGTATCACCTTCGCGTCACGGGCTGCTGCTGGTGTTTCTCCACTGCCCTCACGCGCCCAAAGGCTTCCACAGACGCGAGGCCAACCAAGCAGAGAGGCAGTCCACCACACAAAGCTGCCTCGAGATCCACCAAAACGGACAGCTCCTAAAGAACGTGACTTCTCAACAGACCCACACACACAAACCCACAGCATAACGCAGCCGCCAACATCGCGATTAAAGCCATCCTCGATAGCTTTCAATTTAAATCGCCCAATGTCCACATTCGCTTCACCACATCCATTAATACGCACAAGCTTTCCAGGCAGCATGGCAAACTCAAAAACTGAAAAAAGCTGCTGCGACTGCTTGTTCAGCTCAACACCTTACACAGTGACGTTAGAGATTAATGACTGCTTACAATGAAACTATGAACTTACAGGCGAGAAAGACGGACATAACACTATCACCACAGTCACGCTCGCACGTCCCCAACTCCATCGACCTTCCCTGTACACTGTGCACCCTGCCACGTACAGTCTTCGCCAAAGCATATCAGCAAGTCCCTTCTCACCTTCCACCTCATTGCATTCCTACAAAGCCAGCACAGACGGTTTCGCCCAGGTGCTGCTTAAAGCGTCAGCTGTTCTACAAACATCTAGTTGGCGCCAGCGCGTCGGTGTAGGGAGACTGAGAATCACTTCACACGAATCACCCAGAAGGACTTGTGCGCCACGGAACGCAAAGCAGCGCGAAAACCTTCGACGCGGTGAGCCGACGTACGCGAGAATAGGGAGTCACCGCCAACACTAGTTCTCCGTGCTTGCTCTAAAGCTACAGAAGAACGTCGAAGTCCTCCTGCATCTAGCGCATCTCGTGTATCACCTTCGCGTCACGGGCTGCTGCTGGTGTTTCTCCACTGCTCTCACGCGCCCAAAGGCTTCCACAGACGCGAGGCCAACCGAGCAGAGAGGCAGTCCACCACACAAAGCTGCCTCGAGATCCACCAAAACGCACAGCTCCTAAAGAACGTGACTTCTCAACAGACCCACACACACAGACCCACAGCATAACGCAGCCGCCAACATCGCGATTAAAGTCATCCTCGATAGCTTTCAATTTAAATCGCCCAATGTCCACATTCGCTTCGCCACATCCATTAATACGCACAAGCTTTCCAGGCAGCATGGCAAACTCAAAAACTGAGGAAAATTAGGACGGCTGCTTGTTCACACATCCTGTTGAAACGGAAACTCTAAAGCCCTCCCAGAACTTACTTGCACACCGGACTCGGACATACACAGTGACGTCAGAGATTAATGACTGCTTACAATGAAACTATGAACTTACAGGCGAGAAAGACGGACATAACACTATCACCACACTCACGCTCGCACGTCCCCAACTCCATCGACCTTCCCTGTACACTGTGTACCCTTCCACGTACAGTCTTCGCCAAAGCATATCAGCAAGTCCCTTCTCACCTTCCACCTCATTGCATTCCTACGAAGCCAGCACAGACGGTTTCGCCCAGGTGCTGCTTAAAGCGTCAGCTGTTCCACAAACATTTAGATGGCGCCAGCGTGTCGGTGCAGGGAGACTGAGAATCACTTCACACGAATCACCCAGAAGGACTTCTGCGCCACAAACGCAGCGCAGCGCGAAAATCGTCGAGGCGGTGAGCCAACGTACGCGCTAATGGTGAGAATTCGCCGCCAACCCTAGTTCTCCGCGCTTGCTCTAAAGCTACAGAAGAACGTCGAAGTCCTCCTGCATCTAGTGCATCTCGTGTATCACCTTCGCGTCACGGGCTGCTGCTGGTGTTTCTCCACTGCCCTCACACGGCCAAATTCTTCCACACACGCGAGACCAACCAAACAGAAAGGCAGTCCACCGCACGAAGCCTGCTGCCTCGAGACCTACCGAAACGAACAGCTCCTAAAGGACGTGACGTGGCCATAGACCCTCAGCAGCAAACAGCCGCCAACTTCACAATCAAAATCATCCTCGACAGCGTTAAGCTCAAATTGGTCATTGTCCGCCTTATACGCGCCGCATTCGACAATGCGCACAGGCCACCCAGCCAGCATGGCAAACTCAAAAACTGGGAAAAATTGGTGCGACTGCTTGTTCAGTTCAACAGACTCTCTGTTAAAACGGCAAACTCTAAATCCCTCCCAGAACATACTTGCAAAAGCAGTCCACCCCACAAAGCCTGCTGGCCCGAGATGTACCAAAGCGCGCAGCGCCTAAAGACGTGATGTCCTGAGCCCACACCCACAGACCCACAGCATAACGCAGAAGCCAAACTAGCAATCAAGATTGTCCTGAATAGCTTGCACTTCAAATTGCTCAATGTCCACGTTCGCTCCGCCATGTCCATAAAGGCGCACAAGCTTTGCAGGCAGCATGGTAAACTCAAAAACTGAGAAAAATTAGTACCGCTGCTTGTTCAGCTCAACACACTTCCTGTTGAAACGGAAACTCTAAAGCCCTCCCAGATAGTACTTGTACACCGGACCCGGACATACACAGTGACGTCAGAGATTAATGACTGCTTACAATGAAACTATGAACTTACAGGGAAGCAAGACAGACATAACACTATCACCACAGTCACGCTCGCACGTCCCCAACTCCATCGACCTTCCCTGTACACTGTGTACCCTGCCACGTACAGTCTTCGCCAAAGCATATCAGCAAGTGCCTTCTCAGCTTCCACCTCATTGCATTCCTACAAAGCCAGCACAGACGGTTTCGCTCAGGTGCTCCTTAAAGCGTCAGCTGTTCCACAAACATCTAGATGGCACCAGCGTGTCGGTGTAGGGAGACTGAGAATCACTTCACACAAATCACCCAGGACTTGTGCGCCACACAACGCAGCGCAGCGCGAAAATCATCGAGGCGGTGAGCCAACGCACATTCTAATGGTGAGAATTCGCCGCCAACCCTAGTTCTCCGCGCTTGCTCTAAAGCTACAGAAGAACGTCGAAGTCCTCCTGCATCTAGCGCATCTCGTGTGTCCCCTTCGCGTCACGGGCTGCTGCTGGTGTTTCTCCACTGCCCTCACACGGCCAAATTCTTCCACACACGCGAGACCAACCAAACAGGAAGGCAGTCCGCCGCACAAAGCCTGCTGCCTCGAGACCCACCAAAACGCACAGCTCCTAAGGGACGTGACGTGGTCATAGACCCTCAGTAGCAAGCAGCCGCCAACTTCACAATCAAAATCATCCTCGACAGCTTTAAGCTCAAGTTGGTCAATCTCCGCCTTATAAGGGCCACATTCGACAATGCGCACAGCCCACCCAGCCAGCATGGCAAACTCAAAAGCTGAGAAGCATTGGTGCGCCTGCACGTTCAGCTCAACACACTCCCTGTTAAAACGGGAATATCCAAATCCTTCCCAAAACGTACTCGCACGCCGGACCCGGACATACACAGCGACATAAGCGGTCAATGACTGCTTACAATGAAACTATGAACTTACGGGCAAGCAAGACAGACATAACACTATCTCCACAGTCACGCTCGCACGTCCCCAACTCCATCGACCTTCCCTGTACACTGTGCACCCTGCCACGTACAGTCTTCGCCAAGGCATATCAGCAAGTGCCTTCTCAGCTTCCACCTCATTGCATTCCTACAAAGCTAGCACAGACGGTTTCGCCCAGGTGCTGCTTAAAGCGTCAGCTGTTCCACAAACATTTAGATGGCGCCAGCGTGTCGGTGCAGGGAGACTGAGAATCACTTCACACGAATCACCCAGAAGGACTTCTGCGCCACAAACGCAGCGCAGCGCGAAAATCGTCGAGGCGGTGAGCCAACGTACGCGCTAATGGTGAGAATTCGCCGCCAACCCTAGTTCTCCGCGCTTGCTCTAAAGCTACAGAAGAACGTCGAAGTCCTCCTGCATCTAGTGCATCTCGTGTATCACCTTCGCGTCACGGGCTGCTGCTGGTGTTTTTCCACTGCCCTCACGCGGCCAAATTCTTCCACACACGCGAGACCAACCAAACAGGAAGGCAGTCCACCGCACGAAGCCTGCTGCCTCGAGACCTACCGAAACGAACAGCTCCTAAAGGACGTGACGTTGTCATAGACCCTCAGCAGCAAACAGCCGCCAACTTCACAATCAAAATCATCCTCGACAGCTCTCATCTCAAATTTGTCAATGTCCGCCTTATACGCGCCGCATTTGACAATGCGCACAGGCCACCCAGCCAGCATGGCAAACTCAAAAACTGAGAAAAATTGGTGCGACTGCTTGTTCAGTTCAACAGACTCTCTGTTAAAACGGCAAACCCTAAATCCCTCCCAGAACATACTTGCAAAAGCAGTCCATCCCACAAAGCCTGCTGGCCCGAGATGTACCAAAGCGCGCAGCGCCTAAAGACGTGATGTCCTGAGCCCACACCCACAGATCCACAGCATAACGCAGAAGCCAAACTAGCGATCAAGATTGTCCTCAATAGCTTGCACTTCAAATTGCACAATGTCTACCGTCACAGTGCCACATTCCTTGATGCGCACAAGCTTTCCAGGCAGCATGGCAAACTCAAAAACTGAAAAAAATTGCTGCATCTGCTTCTCGACCTCAACACCCTCCCTGTTTAAAAGGAAACTCTAAATCCCTCCCAGAACGTACTCGCACACCGGACCCGGACATACACAGCGCCATCAGCGGCCAATGACTGCTTACAATGAAACTATGAACTTACAGGCGAGAAAGACGGACATAACACTATCACCACAGTCACGCTCGCACGTCCCCAACTCCATCGACCTTCCCTGTACACTGTGTACCCTTCCACGTACAGTCTTCGCCAAAGCATATCAGCAAGTGCCTTCTCAGCTTCCACCTCATTGCATTCCTACGAAGCCAGCACAGACGGTTTCGCCCAGGTGCTGCTTAAAGCGTCAGCTGTTCCACAAACATCTAGTTGGCACCAGCGTATCGGTGCAGGGAAACTGAGAATCACTTCACACGAATCACCCAGAAGGACTTCTGCGCCATAAACGCAGCGCAGCGCGAAAATCATCGAGGCGGTGAGCCAACGCACGTTCTAATGGTGAGAATTCGCCGCCAACCCTAGTTCTCCGCGCTTGCTCTAAAGCTACAGAAGAACGTCGAAGTCCTCCTGCATCTAGTGCATCTCGTGTATCACCTTCGCGTCACGGGCTGCTGCTGGTGTTTCTCCACTGCCCCCACGCGGCCAAATTCTTCCACACACGCGAGACCAACCAAACAGGAAGGCAGTCCACCGCACGAAGCCTGCTGCCTCGAGACCTACCGAAACGAACAGCTCCTAAAGGACGTGACGTTGTCATAGACCCTCAGCAGCAAACAGCCGCCAACTTCACAATCAAAATCATCCTCGACAGCGTTAAGCTCAAATTGGTCATTGTCCGCCTTATACGCGCCGCATTCGACAATGCGCACAGGCCACCCAGCCAGCATGGCAAACTCAAAAACTGGGAAAAATTGGTGCGACTGCTTGTTTAGTTCAACAGACTCTCTGTTAAAACGGCAAACTCTAAATCCCTCCCAGAACATACTTGCAAAAGCAGTCCACCCCACAAAGCCTGCTGGCCCGAGATGTACCAAAGCGCGCAGCGCCTAAAGACGTGATGTCCTGAGCCTACACCCACAGATCCACAGCATAACGCAGAAGCCAAACTAGCAATCAAGATTGTCCTCAATAGCTTGCACTTCAAATTGCACAATGTCTACCGTCACAGTGCCACATTCCTTGATGCGCACAAGCTTTCCAGGCAGCATGGTAAACTCAAAAACTGAAAATAATTGCTGCATCTGCTTCTCGACCTCAACACCCTCCCTGCTTAAAAGGGAACTCTAAATCCCTCCCAGAACGTACTTGTACACCGGACCCGGACATACACAGTGACATCATCGGCCAATGACTGCTTACAATGAAACTATGAACTTACAGGCAAGCAAGACAGACATAACACTATCACCACAGTCACGCTCGCACGTCCCCAACTCCATCGACCTTCCCTGTACACTGTGCACCCTGCCACGTACAGTCTTCGCCAAGGCATATCAGCAAGTGCCTTCTCAGCTTCCACCTCATTGCATTCCTACAAAGCTAGCACAGACGGTTTCGCTCAGGTGCTCCTTAAAGCGTCAGCTGTTCCACAAACATCTACATGGCACCAGCGTGTCGGTGTAGGGAGACTGAGAATCACTTCACACGAATCACCCACAGGGACTTGTGCGCCACACAACGCAGCGCAGCGCGAAAATCATCGAGGCGGTGAGCCAACGCACGTTCTAATGGTGAGAATTCGCCGCCAACCCTAGTTCTCCGCGCTTGCTCTAAAGCTACAGAAGAACGTCGAAGTCCTCCTGCATCTAGTGCATCTCGTGTATTACCTTCGCGTCACGGGCTGCTGCTGGTGTTTTTCCACTGCTCTCACTCTCTGAAAATGCTTTCACAGACCTCCAGACCCACCAAACCGAAAGGCAGTCCACCGCACAAAGCCTGCTGCCTCGAGACCCACCAAAACGAACAGCTCCTAAGGGACGTGACGTTGTCATAGACCCCCAGCAGCAAACAGCCGCCAACTTCACAATCAAAATCATCCTCGACAGCTCTCATCTCAAATTTGTCAATGTCCGCCTTATACGCGCCGCATTCGACAATGCGCACAGGCCACCCAGCCAGCATGGCAAACTCAAAAACTGGGAAAAATTGGTGCGACTGCTTGTTCAGTTCAACAGACTCTCTGTTAGAACGGCAAACTCTAAATCCCTCCCAGAACATACTTGCAAAAGCAGTCCACCGCACAAAGCCTGCTACCTCGGGATCCACCAACAAGCACAGCTCCTAAAGGACGTGATGTCCTGAGCCCACACCCACAGACCCACAGCACAAAACAGCCGCCAACCACAAAATTAACATCATTATCGGTAGCTTCCACCTCAAGTTGTCCAATGTCCACGTTCTCTTTGCTATATTCATCACACCACACGAGCCACTTAGATGACAGCTGTTTGTGTAGGCCAAAACACTTTCTGAGAGCTCGTATGCCTCTAACTTCCTTGTCGGCTCATCCGAAGACACCATCGTGGCAGTCAACCAGACGTGAGAGCTCAGCTGTGTTTGGAATCAAACCAAAAATCAATAAATACACGGAAAAAAAACACAACAACACCACCTGAGCTATACCGCCATGGACCGTGTCTTTTGACATTAGAGGGCCACAAAATCAATCTGGATTCCTAGAAACTGCATCGTTCGCTTCGGAACTCAAACACTTCCAACCAAAACAACGCACCACTCCTGACATATTCATGATTCAAACCCCATAGCAACGAACTAGGCCTCTAATGTCTAAAGGACCAATGCGCGGAACGAGTGCGTGAAAATCTTTAGGACAAACTTCCAACAGCGCCAAAGGCTCCAGTCTCGTAGCAGCCCAACGCGAATCGTTACATTAGCATCCCACATGCCATGAATTCAACCCGTGCAACAGCGCCCATGTCAGACCCACAGGCCAACTCCTCCTCACCAACAAGTGCCACACGGCCCAACGGCAAACCCCACTCGCCCACCGCCACTAGCTAGACAGCCTCACTGCATAAAACCCACGTCCTGTCATCGCCAGAATAATGCCGTGAGCCTTTCTGTTTTCTGTTCACTGCGCGTCTGCCACAATCCCATGACTGCTCTTTCGCACTCAGCAATGCGCCGCAGCACAATAGCAGTCTCTTCACTCAAAACGCACCCGCAGCTCGCGCTGAACCTGCTCCGGTGCCACTGAGCTGCGCCTGCGCTCGCTGGGAGCGCCACGACGACACACGCGTGAGTGGCAATCGCCCGTGGCACTTTTCTGCAGCGTCTACCGCTGCAGTCGCATAGCAGCCCAACAGCCAATAAGAATCACTGCACCCGAATCCTGCGCGCCAAGAATTCAACCCGTGCAACAGCGCCCATGTCAGACCCACAGGCCAACTCCTCCTCGCCAACAAGTACCACACGGCCCAACGGCAAACCCCACTCGCCCACCGCCACTAGCTAGACAGCCTCACTGCATAAAACCCACGTCCTGTGATCACCATAATAATGCCGTGAGCCTTTCTGTTTTCTGTTCACTGCGCGTCTGCCACAATCCCATGACTGCTCTTTCCCATTCAGCAATGCGCCGCAGCACAATAGCAGTTGCTTCACTCAAAACGCACCCGCAGCTCACGCTGAACCTGCTCCGGTGCCACTGAGCTGCGCCTGCGTTCTCTGGAGCGCCACGACGACACACGCGTGAGTGGCAATCGCCCGTGGCACTTTTCTGCAG